TCCTCGAATATTACCTTTTGGGGGGCCTTGCTCATTCGAGGGCATCATCTCTATTTTACCATTGGGATGCATATGAAAGTAAACTATATCACTCAGCCTTTCTTCTTCGGATTAAAAAAATATATAGTTGCAGCATAATGTGTCCTGTCCAGTACTGAAGAGGCCACACATACTGTAGCAGGTTGACTCAACTGGGCGGGCTTCACTTCTCAGACTCCCTTCATTCAAACATACTTTGTTATTGGGATTTGGGCTGACTCCACCCCCGTGATTGCAATGAGGTATAAATGCAGCAGCAGCGTGCCCACAGCCAAATCTGAAAGCTTATTGGTGCCCAAACATGAAGGGACTGGGCTTGGTTCTCCTTGTGCTTCTCCTGCTGTTTGCCGTCGTGGAGGGTAAGCAACGGATCGAACAATTTTCACAACTCTGTGACATCAAATCGACACATAATTATGTAAAGCCACATACATTGATCTCATGAGGGCGCCCGACTTGCTCAGTCATACGTGGAAGTCAAAGAATTTGCCAGATTTCTTCAAACTGTGTCTTTGAGAGCACAGAATGGTGTTGTCATCATTATCATGAATGTCGTTGTCTCCAGGCAATGATCCCGAACCACAATACTGGACATGCGGGCATAGAGGACTCTGCAGACGGTTCTGCTATGCTCAGGAGTACATGATCGGTCATCACGGGTGCCCTCGACGATACAGGTGGGCATGTAAAGATCATAAAATATATACTTTAGTCTCACATAAGTCAACGGTTTGGATATGGTAGAAATGTCATGATGAAGTATCGCACCAGTCCATATCTGTCTAAGCAAATGTGTGATGGTCCTGATATGTCCCTGTTCACTTGCAGGTGCTGTGCCGTACGTTTTTAACACCTGCCAGTCTTAGGCCGGGACCTGCGAGAACAGTCACAGAGTGATGCGTGCTCTTTCGAGGCCTTGAATCTTGCTTGCAGCCCTTTAAAATGTCAGCGTGATTTGAAAATGAGCACTTTTGCTGTGAATCTCTAACCTATTAGCTCATAAAACTCAATTTCTTAGTTTTGAAATATTGTATGACATATTCCGCATCTGCTATTTAAAAAAAAAAAGGGCAGTTTCAAATACCTTCTGAAAAGGAGTGTTACTAATAAAGGTGTGCAAATACAAAGTATTTGGGGTTTTTTTCCTGTATTTAATTTGAATTGTTATAAGTCACCTTTGACAGGGCGAAGCAGAAATGTTGAATTTGTCAACCAGTTCCACACCATCATATTTTGTTAAAGACAAAAACATACACAAACACAACATTTCATTTTGATAGGAAATATATATAAATATTAAAAAAAAACAAATGTAAGTCAACATTTATTTTTGTTTAGTTTTTGGAGTGTATCCATTTTCTGTCCTGCAGTGCATGTTCTTATTAGGGTTGCAGGTGAGCTGGACCTCATCCCAGCTCACGTTGGTGCAAGAGGTCGTTTCGCCCAATCGCAGGCGAATTACACATAAAAATTAACAACAATATCTGCGTTGTGTTTGTACGGACAGAAAATGCGGAAACGAGTCCAATGTGGGCCGATGTTGCACTGGCAGGACACAATAATAGTCAAGTGACTAACTCCAATCGTAGTTGGGGTGGGCCGGCGCTTTTGTGAATGAAGTGTCTCTTGTTTTTGTTCGAACCATCGTGTCTGTCTGTCTGTCTGTCTGCAGGACAACATTGCCAACCGAACATCAGACATCACAGTTCAACAGTCTTGATTGCAAAGCACATTCTTTGTTATTCTGCCTGTGAGACAGAAAGGTCAAATGTCTGTGCAAGGTGAACTTTGACAAACTCAGAGCACGAGTTGCAATCGATAAACATCGGCCTTGACGGTCATTATTGGCCACTCGTTGATGAGTGGACGAATATGGCTGAGGGGAGAACAGGCATTCAAAAAGTATGGATGCTATTTGTCAACACAAGCCGTTGCATTGTGTCACGCGCTGTCATCTGGTATGAATGTTTGTACGCGAACGTGACCCAAACAGCAGACCCCTCACAGACTTTGTTTACGCCAGGCTGTCTGTCTTCACTCTGCTAACATGACAGCTGACCAAAAAAAAAAAAAAAAACAAAAACAAAACCAGGTTTTCCGGCAACAGGTTACACAAAGGTTGACTCATGAAACTATGCTGACGTCAAAGAGTCAACAGAAGCGAATAGTTGAAATTACTTGAGTGGCTCTCTTGTCACCCATTTTCTTTTCGCAAGTGTCTCTTGATTTATTGTTTCTCGATGGCCGCACGGTGTGAGACATTTTTCATCATTTCAAATGTGAACCACAACGTTCAGTCACATTTGTCGCTCAGAGGCACGAGAATCAGGTTTCCGTGACAGCAGGGAAATTTCATTGCGACAGCTCCTCACCCACTGTCCCGTCGAAAATGAAAACAAACATCAGGATTGATGAAAAACACCAAACTCTCCTGCAGAAATGTATTTTATTCCCTCAAGTCATCAGTGCAAAATCAACATGAAATATAGAGCAGCTAAAAAAAAATCATACGCCCCTTATGTTTCTCTCTGTTGGGCAACCGGAGTAAGTGAATTTGTGTGTGTGTGGGGGGGGGGGGACCTCATCTGAAATTTCCATACATTGGCATATTGCTACCTATAAAATAGAAGTATGCCTTGAGGGCTGTTCTGTATCAAAACACGCGCCATTTATTTCCTGTCTGTAGTGCTGCAAAATGGAAGAAACCATTTTTCCCATTGGCATGAAGCAGTATTATTACTTCATGTAAAAAGACAAGTTCCATTGACTGCAGAGTACACAGATGAGCGAAAGCCCTCAAGGGGAGTACGTCTTTTTTTCCATTTTTAATTTTTTTTTTTTTACAGTGCATTAACTTAATGTAATGCTGCTATATTATGTGCAGAAAAGACACACTTTACCTCGGATATCTAGTTGTGACATTTGCAAAGTTAAAACACCACTGCTGAGACAGCAAAGGTGCAATTGGACAAAGACGATGACAGCACGTGGATTAGCAAAGATATATGGTCATTTTGTGTGCTGTAGGGGGTGGAAAAAAAAGTAAATGACGAAAATTAATTGGCCCTTGGTATGACAGCCGAGGGCTGATTTATGCCTGAGAATATGATTGTCTTAGCTTAGCAGAAATGTTATTTGGTGAGGTCAGTTAAATTTCATTTATATTTTGTGTTCTGGTGGAGGTGTGATTGAAACAGCATTTTGAACGAAAAAAAAAAGAGCAGTGACAGTTTGGCTCCTTGCAATAAGTTTATATTAGGAAAAAAAACATTGAATTTGCTGATGAAAGCACATTTGACAATAAAGTTGTATCCAATCCAAATATTCCATCCATGTGCCTTCTGGGGGAGAGTAAGCAAACAACTGCAATTTAATCAGATGGATTAGTAAATCCTGTTTAAGACAAAAACATTTTTTACAAACAAAAAAAAACCCCTTTGCCTCACAAAATGGAGGCCAGCGCAAATCAACTATTCACAAATAAGCAGTAAGGAACTCAACATTGACAAGAGCAAAAACAAAATTCAAAACGTATGTACATTGATCACTTACCGAAACAGAAACATGACACATCATTTATGTCGCCTGAATCAATGTGTCCGGCTGCAGTGAGTTTAAAATCAGCAGTGCTTGTGCACACCAACACAGGTACAATCGTTTACTGAATGCCTGTAAATGACAACTGTTAGGACCTATTGTCGTCAAAATTCAAGTGCAAAAGACCCAGAAAACATTTGGCAGCACCTGAAACTGCAGATCATTAGTATAGAAATGTGTTTCTTAAAACAAGGCATGGTACGGTCTCGTGGTTTAGCCGTCGCTCCAGAGTGCATTAATTTGCGTTTGAATTGTGCGCAATTGGCAGATAGTGGATTTCACGCGGGTTGAAGACGCTGCAGCAACCCGGTCGTGGTTCCTTCGCTGCTTCGATTCTACATTCATGAGCTCAACACGGATACGATTACAAACACGGCGTAAAGGTAGAGAGAGAGGTATGGCGTAGCGGACATGCAACCATTGTGCCAAATAGCCGGCAGCAGGTCTCAAATGGGCCCCCCCTCCTATTCGAACGGAGTATCACAACAGCCCAATGAAGCAATGAGATCAAAGGGGCGCCTCCTCAGAAATTTCCAAACTTGAAAATATGATGTTGTGGCAGTCAAAAGGGTGAGAAGCATGGTCCTAGTGTCCGCCACAATGTTACGTTTAAAGCCACAAGGGGAAAAAAGAAGCCCCGTTGTCAAAAAACATTTCAAAGAGGATGTCAACTCTGCACTTTGGGTTAGTGGTTGCAAACTGACCATGATTCTAGCTGATGCGAGTGCAATTTTTTTTTTTTTTTTACAATGCAGTCTGTCGTGTACTTTGATGTTTGGTCAACTCCTGGGCCTCGTTTTGTCATAAAGTGTGCCAAATACGAAAAAATAAAAAAATAAAAAATTCGAGGCTGTGACTTGGCAGCAATCAACAAAATTTAAGGCTGATGCAGTCAAAGCAGAATTTCAACTTACCGGTAACCATTTTATTCGAAGGAAACAACGTGCGAGTGGTGTGTTTAGGCCACGAATTGCTCGCGTCATACCTGTCAACCTCGGCTAAGAGCTGCCCTTATAAATGATTACGATTCCCCTTACAAAGCAACAAAAAACCTGACATCGGCTTACCGCGCATGCGCACATCATGCTTTATCAATCCTACCGTACGCTGCGATGAAAAAAAATATACGATTGAGGATTACTTTTGCTGGTTTGCCGTGACAATTGTAGCGATCGACGACGGCATTGTCGTTGGCTACCAGCAGGTGAGACGATCTGGATTTGAGCCAAAATGGTCTTTGTGAACTCGGTTCACAATTTTTTTTTCCCGTATAAAAGTTGTAATACGCCGTACATGATTTGAAATGATAAAAAAAAAACGTATAAAATACGCGGAAAACGTACAAGTTGACAGGTATGTCGTATGATCGGGAATGAGTCAGTAGCTCAAGTCTGGCCACCCTGAGCTCATGGAGGTGAGGAAAACATCTTTTGAAATGGTCATTGGAGAACATTCTGCATGAGCACCCAGATCTGCTGCATGTGTCATTGTGGTGGCACACAACACAGTATTTATAGGAGGAAAAAAAAATAATAATAAGATTTAGCCCAAGGTATCCAAACGCACGACACCGTCATGCATCATACGCATCATTTGCAAGTAGTCATGTCCAAGCAGAGTGCCTGTTCCTCTGTGACTGGAGAGTCTTTTCACCCCCGCCCCCGTCCATCCACACACACACAAAAAAAAAAAAACATCCTGCTTTTGGTCCCCTTCTTCAAGAAAGTCCCTCGTCAAAAGTCTGAGGCGGCGATGGAAGCGTCCAGCAGCTGGCTGTGCGGTTACTCACATTCAGTCCCATCAAAAGGCAGAAGCGGTCATTTGTGAAACAAGTAGATTGGCCTCTGAAAACCTGAAGGAAGACATTGGTCATGGCATCAAATACAATGCAGAACAACCTCCCCGTTTTTACATTCGTGAACAACACAACACCTCTGGTTAAACTTTTCGGCGTCCCGAGGAACTCGCAACTCGTGAAGCCCACTTCATTGGTGAGATAGGAGGAAAACTGATCGGGCTTGAGGCGAATGCTGTGAAAATTCCTGTTGATGGTATCCTAGTGAGGAAGACAGGAAACATTCCATTCATTATGACTGAAAAAACAAAAAAAATGCTTGAAATAAAAGGACTTTGCGCTTTTACCGTCAGCTTCTTCCTCTTGATGTAGGATTGCCAGGGCTGCGGCTCGAGGATGAAGAGGCCTCCGGGATGAAGATGTCGGTAGACTCTCTTGAAGAGGCGCTTGAGGCCGCTGTCCCCCCAGTTCAGGTGAACCCATTTGGTGACGCTCATACACAGGATCACGTCGTACTCGGGCCGCTGGGTCACGAGCAGGTTGTCATTTTGCAGCACATAATTGGCCTGGACAGAAAGAGGGAGGAAAAAAAAAAAAGAAAATCAACAATACTGTAATTGGAGGCTATTTAGAACTAAATTCAAGTGCTTACGGACCACTTTGTTGACTTGATCTGGATTTGTATGTATTTATTTTTTTATTTCTAATGGCAAAGATGTGAGTTAAGGTTATAAAACACTGCTTCAAGGGGTTCACAGCCTGGCAGAATTGACTGATTGCAAGTGCAATGTCTTTTGGGTTCAATTGAGCACAGGGAGATTCAGTATGGAAAACCCTGCTCTCGTCATCGTGTTACATAACAGATCTCACAGCAGTATCAGTATCCATTAATAAATTGGACATGGACGAGGACAATGGAAGACATCATTCAGTGTTCTTGGCATGGGGCCATTAGAAGGCCCATTTTGTGTTCTTCGCTTCCCTTTCGCTGTTACCGGTGACAATTTTATGTCCAAAAATCAGTGGACTGTTGTGTGTGTGTGTGTGGTTTTTTTTCTCCACCCACGTGGTAAACCATCACTGCAGAAGACGGCCTAACGCAAGGGTGACACAAAGTGATACCCTTGACATCTTGTTACTATAGAAACAGTAAATCTACCTAACTCAGTTGCTTAGTGGAAATGGAGCTTGTCATGTAATGTTTAATAATAGAAGGTGGCTGGCTTTTATCAATGATGCTGAATTCTTTATATATTCATATTCATATATTTGTTGCATTTTTATTTTCTAAAATAATAGACCAGCCCAGTGTCCAGAAGACGCCATCTTACCTTGATGAAGGACACATTGGCGGGGAACTCCCCTGGCTTTGCGGTGGAGGATTCAGTAAGAGGAGGTGCAGCAATGGGCCCCCGGGAGATCTGCAGGGACAGAGGGAAAGAGCAGCTCCCGGGCTGATCGCTACCCACGCGCTCCATTTTTTCTATTTTGCCATCTTGTCTCTGAGCCTTGACCTGTTCTGTGCCACAAGAGTCCTTGCCGTCCGCCTCCTCCGCGAGGCCGCTTTCCCCTTTGAGTGTGTCGCCATTTTCCCTGCTCTCCGTGTGCCTCTCTTCGCCATCGCAGCCGGCGTTCCCCTCCTGCGTCGCCCGCCTGGCCTCTTGCGTCTGCATCTCGGAGAGGTAATGCCTGATGTTCTTGCGGGCAGCGTGCACCAGCCCGTTGTCAATGTCCAATCCCAATATGCGGGCTGGCCGCAGCATTTTTGCAATGTAGAGGGTGAGGTGGCCCGAGTTGCAGCCTAAATCGAGCACGCGTTTACCTTCAAACCACTCTGGGCGAAAGACGTGCACCCGGGGGTCTTCATTTGCACTCGGGTTGCGGTAACCGTAGTATTTGTTGTAGTTGCCATACTGGAACTTCTTCTTCTGTTGGTCCCTGGCCTGGTTGTGCGGATGCTGGTGCTGGCGACCTCCCGGAGCAGATTTGGATCCACTCCTGGGCGTGTGGAAGGAATTTTTGGATCCCCCAGGTTTGTGATTTTGCTCACCTGATGCAGATTTCGCTACAGGGGTAGAGTGAGTCACAGGGGGGTCCATTTTGCCAGAGTTGCGCCTCCGCTTGCGCCTGCTTATGTGCTGGTTAACCCCCCCTTGAGCGGAGGAAGTGGAATCCTCCATAGATATGGAGGTGGCTTCTTCCTTCAAGCTGGACGAATCGTCTGCAGAGAGGACACGAGAATCCCCCTCGCCACCGGAGACTCTGTCTGACACTTTCGAGACTTCCAGATTAGAACGGGTTACCGTACCAGGAAATGACACAGAGTCTCCAGTTTTGACCTCGTTTTTTCCAGATTCACAAAGGTGTAACTGGGTTGAAAAGCTGCCACCGTGATGTCTGTTACGATGCCTTCGCCTTCCGCCGCTTTTTAGGGGGGACACCAAAAAGCTGCTCTCCCCGATGCAGCTGTTCAGATTGAGAGGATCTGTGATGTCCCTGGGGATGAGGATCTCCACGGGATCTCGACTCTTTGCCGGCAACGGGGACGATTTTGGGGTTTCTGCATTCAGCGCCCGGTTGACCTCCTCATCCTGCAGGCTGTTGAGATTTAATGGGTCAAAAATATTCCCTCCCAGGAGAAAGTTAGTTGGCAGGACAGAGTCACTTTCTGAGTTTACCCGCCGTCTCCTTTTACCGGAGCTGGGATGCTTGAAACTAAAGCTTGATGTGTTGCGACGCTTCGCCACTCTCATTTGTTGATGCTGTTTGCCGTGGTGGAAGCTATTCCTGCGATTGATGCTCACCTCGTTCCCTTTGGATCTTGGCCCAGCGCCATGAGAGTGGCTCAGAGCGTCAACTGTGCTGGTGTGCTTTGGTGAGGCGGCGGTGCCGGGGACTGGGCAAGAAGCAGCCAAGTCCGAGGCGGCCACAGCTGCACCTTCCGCTAAAACTGAAGCGGCGCTAAAACTTCCAGAACATTCTGAAATCTGCAACGATGAAGTTGAGCTAGCCTGTGGGCTAGCGGTTTTTACAGTGTCTTCGTCAACGGACATTGCGCTTGATTTCCAGAGCCGGTTTGGACATGGAAACTTATATTGGATCTGGAAGTTAAGATAAGATATCCTTTATTTGTCCCACACTGGGGAAATTTACAGCCTTCAGCAGCAAGATTGTGGGTAGAAAGAAGAGAAAAGAAAACAAGAGATCAGATGGAAAAAGTTAGAAAAGCAACAGCATTTTAAATTGAACACTGACAACAATAACAACACTGTAAATAACAACATGACAAGAGCCTGCCATCTCTATGGGGGGAAAAAAATAAGTCATGGAATGAGCAGTTCAAAGCCTTTAAAATTTCAGCCAGCACAACCTTATTGGTGGATATTTTGAACTCGATCTGGTCAGTGAATTAAACTAAACAAAATGAGAAGATATTTTGAGAAATAATGAATTAGCTTTCAACTAATCCAGAGTTCCTATAGGTGATACCACACACAGATATTCCCCTGCAATCCAATTTTCCTCAACACACAAAAAAAATTACATTTCTCGTGAACCCAACATTCAATTTGCTATGTTCTTGGCGCGCTGTACTCAATTTCAAGTATCCATTCCAACCAGACGAAGCATTTTAAAGGTCTGTCATTTAAAAAAAAAAAGATTTGTCACATTGCTACTAACAAGAACATTAAATACACTTATTTTACAACTAATAATAAACTTTTACTTTTCAATCAGTCTCCCTTACAAGATCTATGAGGCTAATTTGTCTTTCACGCTTATTTAAACTGAACCACTACCAAAGTAGAACGTTGCCATATGAAGACGAGGCAGGGGTTAATGATGTGAAAAAGTTCGAGGCACTATGCTGGACAGTTATCCTGTTAGCATGTTAGCTCCTAGCATCCGGGCCAACGTCGAGTAAACGTTCCGTTTAAAAGACACCCGACGACCACAAAAAGTACCCAATTCGACGTGTCGCTGCCTATGAATAAACAACATGCGACTCGAACGGTGTTGAAAATATTTCAGCAACGGTCACCTTTTCGAGCGCAGTCCGGAGTGTGGACACCATCAAAATAATAGACTCACCTCACAGTTCTCCCCGCCTCCGTCCAGACTGTCACTAGCTGAGCTAATGTTAGCTAGCAGCTAACTAGCATACAAATGCAACCACATCGATGCTAACACGCGGCTAATACAAATATTATTATGAATAATAACATCAACACAGCGTATGTCTGCACTAGTTTGGCCGTGGTGCGGGGTTCATGCGTACCACACGCTCCTAGCTGCGTCCTCGGCCAACTCTCGATACTCGTGTCAGGCAAGTGGGTGAATAAATGATTGTGGCGTTGCAGTCGGCATGGCGGCGCATCCGGGCGCGGGGATGTAGCTTCAAGCTAACGGCGGGGGGGCGGAGATGACTTCGGCAAGGATTGATGGCGAGAGGCCGGCCTGATGTGGGGCAACCAGCAGCCTCTTTGATTCACATGACGGTCGCCGTCAGGACAGGAAGGTCACGAACTACTGCAAGCTGTATGGACATACTTTGCCTAAACTTGACGTGTTTATTCCGTTTTAAATGCTGCTCCTCTTCTCTAGGTCAAACCTTTTTCCCCCTCCCTGTATGCCTGCATTAATTGACAGTGTCATAGAGTAGAGGTGGCAAAGTACTCCCATGCTGTAGAAGCACAGATCTTTCTGATAAGTGAGTGTGTAAGTAAATAAATAAACTCTTTTTCAAGGGCGATCTGGCAAGAAGGTGGAGCATAAATCACCTCAGAACTAGAACCCCAAAGAACACAGCCAAGTAAGCATATACCGTATACATATAAATGAAAACTGCCGAAAAGACGACAATCCATTCAGATAGACAGCAGTAATCAGTAAGTGACCATATACGCTAAGCACAAAAATGTAAACTAAACAGCAGCAGTCTCGCACATCGCAACACAATATCCTTATTGTGCAAAGAAAACTACTACAGTACTGGGTCAGAGTAGGACCATCAGGAATCAAGAAATGTAGCAATTTTTAGATTAAAATTACACAAATCAACGAGCCTACTTTGAGTTGACAGAAAATCAAATAAATAAACATCTGAGGTGTGTCACATTCAAAAGACATTTTTTTTCACTTTACAGGGACTTTAAAGCGCATTTCAGCCTTGTAGGGAAGAGCAAAAATAAACGGAGACTGTTTTTCCGTAAAAGGCCACCAGAGGGAGACACCACGTCAATTCAACAGTTGAAGGCCACCTGCTGGTCCACCCTTGTGCAATCTCCTCCGTGTGTTTTGCTGTAAAAATTATATCTCACGTCATTTTGTCCTATTATTTATATAAGTGTTTGTTTTAGTTAAAGGAGGATGTTTTGAAATAAACATTTTTATTCTATTTTTTAAAGTTCTTGATAGGGGAAATAAGAAACCGTAGTAAAAAAAACAGCCGTTGATGCTCTCTGCCCTTGATCTGGCAGCTTGTTCTTAATTGGGTTCTAAATCAGTGCCGCCGTTGGGTAAATGCACCCCCCCCCCACACACTCTAATCTCCATAAAGGAGAAATAAGGGAGAGGGTACCTGTTCCCTCCCTTATGTCAGTCTCTTTTCTCATGGAAATAAGGGTGCGGCCCTCGATTCCGGGCACCATCTGCCCTTCCTCAGGGTTTGGGCCCCAAGCAGTCCAGACATGCTCTATTGTTTGTGTGTGTCCAAGCAGAATGTGGTGAGTACACGCAGCCCTTGTGGCCCAAAAAAGCGCTTTGGATCAAGAGCACGGGTCTGTTGTTCATTAGCGTACATGTGACAGAAGAGGGATGGGAGGCTTCAAGCGTGGCCTGTGTGCCATAACATCAGGGAGTATGTTTTTCCTTTGAGGTGTGGTCAGGCTTTTAAATGTGATGTCATTCAAAGTAACCGTTGACTTGACAGGTCAACTGCGCTTTTGAACACGTACATCATGTATGAAATGCTTTCATTTTAGCTGATGCTTGCCAAAGTTGGATGTTAAAATGTGATCTGCAGTCTTGAAGAGAAGCTGCATAACGCAGAGATGATCTTTAAACATAATTTGGAGCCCTTATAAAAGCGTCTCAAACATCACTCACGTGCTTTTTTTAACATTTCTTATCTTACATCGGAACGCCCCCAAAGCTTCTGTTTCGACTGAGGTGTTCAGGCCGCGTGTGTCTGTCATAGAAGTGGCATTTACAAAATAAGTAGGGAACACTTAAGTCTGCCTCTCAGTGCACCGCATTTTCGGAAACAACAATAATAGGACATGTGAAGATAGTAACGTGGTCAATGTTGCCATTGATTTACTCAAAAGTTGCATGTACATTTTTGGACCGGTCATTGAATCATAACGTGACCTCAGTATGCTGGACCCGGCTGCCCTCCTCATTTTCCGATCTCCACGCTGCCGGCTGCATTGAGATTAGTTATTGAACTGGTCAAGCAAAGGGAAACAAGGCCGCTTCAGAGATTCGGAGCACAATAAGCCAGCTGTCAGAGGGTGGGGCTTGCCCAGACCGCGGTTGTCATGGCTAGGGTGTTGCGTCGCCTTCACAGAGAGGATAGGTGATCCTGTACGAGTTGGACATGCGCTGATTAGTACTGACGCAAGGCTTAATTGGGCCAGCTGGATTGATCAAACATTAAAATTTCAGCAACAGCAATTAATAAAAAAATCTATGTCTTTATTTCTCATTGAGGATGACCCTTTCTGGCCTGTTTGCTCACATATCCTTTTGATGATGCGTCCAACTGCATAATAATGAACACCAGTGTGTCTATGCATTCACGAACATTAAAAGCCTCTTCCCAATCCACAGAGGCTCCACGTTTGTCTCTCTGTAACTCTTTTATATTCAAAAGGTCACTCCAGCCTCATCTGAATCACCGTTGATGTCCTTTGAGGTATAAGAAGATGAATTAAGATCACAAGATTCTGATCTTCGGCCACATTTGGTGATTTTTTTTTTAATGTTACAGACAAATGGAATTCATTCAACCGCTTTGATTTTCACATCCATCAGGTATGCTCCGTGCTAGCTCCCACTGAGCCTTATTATCCTCTTTGATGGAGCAGGTTGAAACGTGCCATAAAACCTAAATTTCAAAACTTGGCAAGGCCTTCCAATGTATTAAGTGCACGGCATTTAAAATCAAGCTGTAATCTGTCATTACTGTGCTCGGCTGTCCACGCTTAACCTGCTACCATCAGGAAAAAAAAAAACCATCAATATTTACCCGTGATCAACTGCATTGAGGCCCACTAACCTCAATTTAATTCCTTTTTTTTGTGGTGGGTGCAGGGGGAGGGGGGTGGATGGTAATCTGTTGTGTTAACATACACAGCCTCACACACAGGCAGAGTAAAAGTAGTCGTTGTGTTTGTGGATGCAGCTGTAGCATGGATGAGCGTGACCTATTATGTTCTGCATGCCAAATTTACCAGTGAAAGGCTTAAGTTAATCTGATGTAGTAAAATGAAGCACATTTAATAGACTGTCCATAGTAGACATCAGTGTAGTTCCATCCATTCCACTAATACTGGACATTGCTGTGGCTACTTCTTGTTTGAATAATTATTTGACATTTGCGTGAATTGAAATGACTTAGAATGTAAAAATCTTTGTGCTTGCGTAGTATTAGTGGTGCAATATTGGCTATAGGATGCGTGTGAGATGATAAATGATTGAGTAAAGTTTCTCATTTCGAATAACGTGCTCTGTTGAACAGTGCATATGTCCTCTATGTTGTCCCGGATTCTTGAAATTTTCATTCTGATTTAGTGACTTGTGTCTACTTGAGAATGTTGGATTTGCACTGGCAAACTAAAATTGCATTTGTCTTCATTTCCAATGTCACGGCTTAAGCTTAATGCTCCTGAGAGTTCAAGAAAAAGTAGATAGTCAAAAGATCCGTGTGGGATTATACTTCATCTGCCATATATCTAAGACCTCTTAAGACAAAATGCATGGGCCTTTGCTGAGCTCTTGAGGATGAATGACGGGCCTTTAACTGTGCAATATTTGCAGTGAGAACTAGGAACATTTTTCACCCTCGTTGTCTTTTCAAATCACTCCCCATTTGAGTCAGTGCTGTCAACTGAATAGCTATGTTGCTCCTCAACAAGGGGTGTCGACGTTACAGGCGTTGTCAGGACAACCAGCCAGGATCCACAGGGCCTTGGAGAGCCTTTCCACCTTGAGCTAGATGCTAGCCATGAGATTCAGCAGATGCTGCGTCCTTCAGCCAATCACAGGTGAGCTCGAGCAAAAAGATGACATCATAGGCAAATTAAAGTCAAATGCAGCCAGGGATTTGGTTGCCATGTCTGCCCGCCTCTGAATCCTCGATTGGCATTATAGGCTGTATAGATAGATGACTCCCAGGTATTAAGTTGTCATTTTGTAAAAATCTGAAAAAAGGTTTAGGATGATAAAATAACAAATTGTTGTGCCACGTTTTGAATGTCATTAAAATCTGGCCACAAAGTTTTGTCCTGACACGAGGACACACACACGTGTCAATTAAATAATTTGCATGTTCTAAAACAACACTCGGGTAACACAGGAGTAAATCATTCCAGGTGATCCAGTGTCCGGACAGACATTGTGTGCACAAATTCACGTGTTCTATTATTATTTTCTTAACTCAAAGAAAGTCATATTTTCCATTAAAATATTCCCCATTGCCCACAACAAAGTAAAACTGGTACAATGTTATTTCTGGCTCATATTCTGTGGGGCTTGTGGTTTAATAAGGACACACACGCACACGCACACGCACACGCACACACACACACACACACACACACACACACACACACACGCACACAAAGTTTTTTTTTTTTAATTGTATCACGAATGAATGACATCTGATAGCATCTGGATGTTAATGCTTCAGGAGCATGTTTCGCATATATGCTACTTGGTGTTGAGGAATTTTGTGCACTCTTTGTATATTATTATTGTTACTATTCTTCTTATTTTAATGTTGTATTTGTCCTTGCGGACTGAAAACAAGTCTAATAATAAATAAGAAATCTGTGATTGACATTATAAGATTTGTAGTTTTTTTTGATTTATTTTACGAGGTGAGTAATGCGATTTAAGTATGCACAAAAAGAAAAAAAAAAGCAGAACGTGTTAATTCTGTCGCGCCCTCCCGACCGTCTCACTGAACAGTTTTGGTCTGTCAAACAGAAAACCAACAACGTCTTCCTGTCTGCTAGCTCCTCCCCCGGACCCGCTTCCCTCGTTAATATTCATCCTCTCGACCAATAGTCGAAACAGGGCGGATGACGTCACGATCTAGGGAACAGCGAACAGCCAGTGAAGCATCCAGCCAGCCAGCCAGCCAGCCTGCCGAGCAAGCCTGCTTTTAGGGTCAGGAACTGGTCTGACAAGAGAATGGCAATCCTGCCCTAAACTGTCACCAGGACCAGGACGGAAGACGATGGTTCCAGCACAGGTGATGGCTCATTGGCGAACCCTGGACCGAGAGAATGTGAAGATATATTTCAGGTAATTTCCTCTCTGTGTATGGAATATGGGGATGTTGAAGACGGGGAGGCAGGAGAGGCGAGGAAGAGGACGGGAGGAGGGGAGACGGAGTATGTATGTCGGGGTGCTTTGTCGCCCCTTTTGCCTGTCTTGCGCTCTGCAATGGGCCCGGCTAAGGAGGCAGCTGTTAGAACTGCAGTCTGTTCCGAGTGGGCCTGGGTGACTGCATAATTCAAATGGGCTTGACGTGTTCTTTTTTTTTTTTTTTTAACCATCCTATATCTGCGCCCCCACCTCCACTCCTCTGCATTTCATCAACTCTGCACGTAGTGCAGGCACCCCCTCGCAAATTAGTGATGGGGAGGTGTTTCTAATCAATAGTGGCGTTTGTGTAGGCCCGCAGCAGCTGCAGTTGCCAACACAAGGACCCCCAAAATATAAAGAAGCCTCGCTATTTTGGGTTTAGTCCTGAATTTGATGGATGGTTGGGAGCTGTATGTGCGGATGCTTCATATGCTCACGGATGCTCTTTGTTACCTCTGTGCTGCATCCTTTTGAGGCCTCTCTAGAAAGGATGATGTAGGAGGAAAAATGTCTTTTTTTAGGGGAGGGGGGTGTCAATAGCCATACACGCGAAGCTGGGACGTGCCTCTGTCTCCTGGCTTTGACATGGACGTGTGCAGCAGTTTCATGGCGGCTCCACTGACAAGCAGATATACAACATCTGGTCACCTGACTTCTTTGGGGATGGAAATGGGGGCGGGGGCCGGTCCTGTGAGAGCCGAGCCGCTATTCCTCGGATTCCTCCACAGCCCATCGGTGGAGGACAATTGGTCGGATGGGATCCAGATGAATGTGCGTTTCCACTGCGTGCAAGTGAGCTAAGGGGAGAAATCCATCTCCGGCGCCATCCGTCCCTGAGATTTGTGAGGCGCAAGGCCTGCTGGGAAACCTGTTGTCTCGCTGTCAGGCGTAAGGGAGATTTTTAGGGAGTCAACGTAGTGATGGAGGGGAGGGTGAGATGATAGCAAGGAGAATTGGGGGATGGGTTACTGAAGGTGTTCCTCTCTGCTAACACTGGTCTGCTGTCTATTGACAGTCAGTCGATGCTTCTATTTATGCTTCGATGACACATATGATTTCCTTGCCCTCATATTTCAGAGGAAATATTTAGTTGCCATGCCAGGTTGCCCAAGACCTACCGATCCACTGCCTAAGTCGACACATATATATTCACCACAATATTCTCGACTGTTGTATTCTCTTCCTTCGTGGTTGGGCTCATAAAGTCCCCACATCTTCATCTGCAGATATCCAGCACAGGAACGTCCCTCCGACTGCCCCACAAACCCAGAATTCACTGTATCCGGTCTGTCTCCGTTGTCTCTGAAGGTTACGTTGCAACTCATGAAAATTTCATCGCCGAAAACAAGTAGGGAAAAGGTAACATGGCCGATTCCCACGACACTCATACGTTTGTATTCGGCGTTAGTGGAAAGGTTTGGTAAAACTGCACCGTCCGCTGTGCTGTTTGTAGAGTAAACAAATGTGCGGGTGAGGGGGAACGAGCACAAGTTATAATGCCGGTGTGTCATTTCAGTCATTATCAGGGCTATGATTAAAAAAAAAAAAGAAAAAAACTTCCTGCATGATGTAACTTGCAGATTAGGGTCAACTGACTTTTTTGTTTTCACTTTTGGTTGTAATTGACATTTCACTTCTGAGTGAAATGAATCTTTATGCCCCCCAATAAAAATAATAATAATAATAATAATAAATAAATAAAAATGCAGGAGGTATGTATCCGGATCCAAATTGTAATTGTTTGACCTTGGCATAAGGTTTGCTCTCCACCGAGTGATACCATGAAAAAATAAAAATAAAAAAGCCGTATGATTTTATGCTGGCCTATTTTCCCTCCCGTGTTTGCATTTCTTTGCACCCCCCCCCTTATGTTTTCCATTATGGCAGATGTAACCCAACACACGCAGCCTCGCTTACCTCGCCTCGACTAACAAAAGCAGCAGAACATCGTCTTGGCCTGCGGCCCACTTAAAGTGGACTTCTCTGAAATCTGATACACGTACAAGGAGGCCTCCATCTGTTGGAGTCGGGGTGAGACTTGCTGCTGGTTAGCGCATTGTTCCGTCAAGTCACCGTTAAGGTCTCCCGTGTCTTCTATCAATGTTATGCGGGGCGTGTGTTTGTTTGAGGGTCAAACTTGACTTCAGCGGTGTATTGCCGTAGGTGTGTCAGGGCTGCTCTATGTGTGTGTGTGAGTGTGTGTGTGTGTGTGTGTGTGTGTGTGTGTGTGTGTGTGTGTATGTGGTGGATTAGCATGTAGGATTGGAAGCCATCTGGCCATTTTGTTCTCGTTGGGGAGGGGGAGTAAGTGCGAGGGATGGATGGAGGGAGGGAGACACTCACACACTGACACATTGACACAGCTTCGGTCGTAATCTCCCTACTTGATGTCTGTTGCGTCTTTACAATACCCTTACTTGTCCGCGTGCATTAATGTCTTTGTCTGAGGTCCACGGAAGTCCCGTCTGCATTTGGGACGCGTCCAACTGCGGCTGGAAATTTGACGTTGAGGACGTTGCAAAACGATTTTCTTGGGAAGGTTCGGCTTTCCAGAAAGTCAGAGACGCTGCACCCTTTTACTGTTAAGATGACTCAGAGGATGAAGATGGACAGAGACGTGCTGAATATCAGGATGAAATGTTGCAGAGTTGGAAGAGGTTTAAGAGATTAGCAAGTTTCACTGGGTCAGGCGTTTGCAGAGGGGTTGGCTGAACTCGAATGCCTCACGTCGGAGAGCCCCGAAAATCAAAGTTCGATGTTAAGGGAATTAATTGAGAGGAAGACTGCAGATCGCTCCCTCGTTGATTCACGTTTGGGTTTCCTGAATGTTGTAAACTCACATTTCGGCCCTCCTTTTTTTTTTTTTTTTTTTTTTGACAGTGCCGGATTTGACTTTACATGGGGGTGAGCTGCACGCGCCGCACGGTCCAGCTGCGGTATTTAACTGCTCTTAATTCCCGAAAAGCTGTTTTGGCGAGCGCGTGATTCAAGCTTCGTAAATGCAGGTGAAAGGGAAGATCGCACAGTGTTGCTTCGCCTCCAAAGAGCTCCGTTTATTTTCTCAGCTGCAGCGAGGTGCGACTATTGTGTACGCTTTCTGTTCCACGCTTTCTGTTCTCGCTTGCTGGCCCAAAAAGCGAATATGAGGCTCACGAGGAAGTGCGCTGGAGGGCAGCAGAATCATAACGTCAGCAAAAATATTGACATTGACTCATAAAATGAATAAAGTCACAAAAATACTTATAACTGCATAAAGCCACCTCTTGCATTTATTGCCATTCGACTGCTGGTGTACGTTTTAAAGCGCCTGCTGAGTGTCACTACTTTTTCAACATCTGTTCCTTGAATGTGAGTGCAAACACACAAACACAAAACGCTGACTGCTTGAGGGATATTGCTAACATGAGCCAAATGTAGGTTACAAATATATTTCCGATTCCAAAGTGGAAACTTGTTAGAATAAGTGTGTTATATTGATGCTCCTGGCTTTCCTCTGCACTACGTGCACGCCCACACGCAGACGCGCGCACATGCGAGTTTATCGGTCAGCATTTCATCACTGTCTGCTCTTGTTTTCTCTCTGCGCTCTCGTTATGTTTTTTGGGTCACATGCCAATGACGCAACCAACAACAACACACCTTGACTACACACACTTGACTAGCAGCGTGTCCTTTGAAGCGCACCCATTTCGAGAATCGATTGGCTGTTCATGAAACAGGCATTGCAGCATGCTTGTGCAAGAAAACGTGTACGTTTGTTATGTGTCGTCATTGCTGGCTAATGGAAACCGATGCCTGCGTGTGTGGACGGTTAAACATCTGGCCAGGTCCAGAACAGCTTCTCCTCTAATCCGTCATGGTTATGAATCAAATGAAATTCAATTCAAATTCAACATGTGTAAGATAATATAACATTCATACAAAAACATCACCAAATAGGTGTGCTTGAAAATGGAAGTAGAGCCTCTTCTTCAGTAATTTTGCCTAAACAGACAATCTGTCACGTTAATGCGGCTAAAACTGCTTTCAGGGTGCTACAGATGTAGTCCACTTAACACCCGACAAAGTAAAACACTTTCATTCCATTGCTGCAAGCAACAAAATTGTCTGTTGTGACCGTTCATTTGATTCTTTTCACACTTTTCATTTTCTATTTGTGCTGATGACACATCGTCATCAAAAAAGGGAACGCATGCATGACTCCATTAAAATTATTTTGTTAAAATGTCATTTTTACCTATTTTTTTTTCAGGGGCGGTAGTGCACACATGCTCGTGCAAGTGGGACTAGGATATAGCGGCACACAGCTAAATATTAAATGGCAGACAGTCTGGCCTCTCACACCTCCCCGGCAGGGGGGTTTGGGGAAGGATGAGACTTTGGTGGTGAATAAATTAGCCTGCGGGGTGGATTAACCAGTTTTCTCAGTTTGTTTAATAAGGGGAACGTTATCCCTCAGCCGTTGGAGCTGATCAACTGAATCCTTCAAAAGTCAGGGAATGAGGGGACCAACAAGACCTACTTCCTCTATAGTTGATCTGTTTCATTTCATTGAAGGACGAATTTGAAAACAATGTGGATATGGTGTTTTAGCTTCTCAACAAAATAAGATGTAAAGCTTGGTTGATTTTGAGGCAAACTGTGAAAAGGCCACAATCAGGTAGAACAAGATCAGACAGCGACATCTGGCTAGTGGCTAATAATAGCGACCCCCCACGCTAAGTGATTAAGAGATGGTTGGGCTCTGTGCTGCATGCTAACTAGCAGCTAAGGGGTAGCCTGCCACAGGTTTGTCTTTGTAAAAAGGAATCTCCCTTCAAGAAGTATGCGAAAAAGAGAAGTCTTCAGAACACAGCGGGTTGTCATGGGGTCAGGCTGAATGGGCATTTACAGTAGAAGTGCGCACGGGCATAGAATCCATTAGCTTAGCCTTTGATATTGCGCAATCATGCTCCAGTTGGCATATTATGGACTGAATGTAGGCCTTTTTTGTCAACGCAAGATGTTAGCATTTTCCGAGACATGGACAACACCCGCTAAATATAGACATTCAAGGAGACTCTTACCATTTTGTCATTCATAAAGGCGAATGCGTCCCAACCATGGGCACAAAGCAACGGCTAGCTTCCACCAGAGCCCTTCTCTTCAAGCGGCCAGTGAACCCTCTTCAGCGAGGCCATTACTGGATTCAGGATTAGAGCCTCTTCCTGTGTTAGCCGTTCAAATTCAGCATTAATGTTTGAAAGGCCCGCTCGTCGTGGTGAGATTAATATTTCATGGGAGGGAAATGTGAAAACATCCTCTGTAATATCTGCCTGAGTGTTGGAGTGTCAGGGTTGTTTTTTTTAAATACATTCCAACACCACATTTAGCAAAGGACACTGACGCAATTATTGACATTGTTTGCATTCTTTTAACTGCCCTAAAGAAGAATATAGAAACGTGTGAAGGCGAAATGCAGACTTTGAATCAAGGACATGCTTATTGTAGAGACAGTACAGCTTCCCTGGCAGTGTGGATTGGGTCTTTTTTTTTTTTTTCTAACACGAAAGGGACAAATCTGTGATGTCTGAGAATAAAACATTTTTACCCGTCAACCCAGTGCGTAGTAACCTAGCATTGGCTCAGCCCCCTTTGGACCCAGCACTGGGTTAGCTATTTCAGAGTTTGGGTTTACTTTAGACACAGCAGTTTTAAAGAGTGTGGCTTGTCGCAGTGGACATAAGAACAACCAATAATGTGATACAAGTGTGCCTCCGCCCCTTTTCCACAAGTATTTAATCAGAGCTCGCAGTGCTGAGTCTTCAAAGAGAAAGTGTTTGAAGTGCTTTGTGTCTTGTAGGTAGGTTAATGTTGTGTAGTTTAATTTTAATACAGTATTGATTATTTGCTCTAGTTTTATATATGCTTCACTACAGTCAAGTCTGGTAAACATAATTACTTGTTAGGACTGCAGTCTTTTTGTGGAATTGTTGTCTACCGTAGTGCCAAAAGTGGAATTCTATTTTTTATGTTGTGTACTCTTCTTTTTTTTTTTCTATGTGTCACAAAGGAGGACAAGAGGCGTTGTGATTGAGTATGAGCTATATTGTGGGAGTCGTGTGCATGTCAGCTGAGTTCATTATGTGGCGTTGTTAGTATTGATCCATTTTTCCTCTGTAATTGGTGACCAGATAGTGATCCCCCATCGATCGCATCTCAGTTGCACTTGTCATAAGCCATGATGCATGACCCGGCTTCACAATGATATCATCAGTGGTTTTAAAGATACTACAGACCTGCGTCAATGGTGAGTCACATATCATCACCTTCTTAAAATAATGTCATATTTTGACAAAAATCTTTTTTTTTTGCCTGAAAGGGAAAAGTCGTGTCAAAAATGATCTTTTCAATATCTTCTGTGCACACACACCCCACCCCCACACTAGTCTGAACACGGTATTCAATATCACGCAGTAAAGCCACCCTGTTTTTAATCATCTCGGGGGCGGCCATTTTGCTGTCGTATTGACCCAATACTGGCACCTGAAAATGGCACCCGAGTGCCTCAGAGCTCAGTTTACAAATGTCACATGACCAATTCCAGAAATTAGGTGTGCCTTGAGAGTCGTTCCCTGAGCCCTTTCACACTGTGATGTCATTTTCAGTCGACGGCAAGTGGCCCGACACGTTATGGTTAAGTCAATATTTGACTCGACTTCCGCTTCAAACGTCGCTTCACGGCACCTATCACCTCTGCTAGAATCAACGACACCTTTCGTTCAACAGATGATTCAATTCTACCACAGCAATGAAAATATTACGGCAACCATGATACCGGCAGTAGTTCAGTTTTTCGTGTTTTCAAGGAAAAAAAAAAAAGAAAACATGACTTCGGCCATTCGTTTCAGAATGTGACGAAATAATCGTCTGTTTTTCAACACCCCGTCGTTGTCAGACACACCGGGCTGCTGCAGACCCAACCAGAAACTATCTTTCTAAAAATACATTATGAGCTCAACATTTCATTTATAGTTTGCCCTTCTCACACTTGTGTGCAACAATGCTACTGTCATGCGAACTCCAAAGACACTCTTTGTCAAAAAGGTTGTGTGTTTTTTAGAGTAAACAGCCGCATGTAAGATGAAGGATTGTAAAAGGTTGAGCGTCCTTCCCTGATGTCCTTTGAAGCTGACACAGCTCGTGCTCCAAACTTCCTGACAGACACTCATCTCATCAATTAATCAATCAGGGGCTGCTCTAATCCCCGCGCTTCCCCAGAATCTTAATTCTCCATTTTGCCGAGGCCTTTTGGACAATCCGCTCGGTGCCGTGCCTCCGTTTGCAAAAGACTGGAACACAGGTTGCGCTCTCCAACTTCTCCTCAGTCCAACATCAACATAGTGACCTTCAGGACTTCTTGAAATTTCACACCGAGGTTGACTCTGTGAGTTGTCTACATTGGCAAAGTTTCTTCTTCGCCCTGGCGGCTCTGATCAGATGACTGAGCTCCTTTCCTCCATCTTCAGGGCTTCTTGCCAGGTCCTATCCCTGCTGAGTTTCCAGTGAAGATTTTTTGCTGAAGATGAGCCATGATTGGTTGTTACCTGAGCCCTGATAAACTGTGATGTCATTTTCAAGCGACAGCAAGTGGCAAAATGATTTCAGTTTTGGAATAGGAAATCTGAATTTTGTAAAGTGGGACGTATTGTCCTTTTTTTTTCTGTGAGAAGTGATATTTTGACATGAATGCCAACAGAAATGAGAGCACTGGGTCCTTGTCATAGTAATCGAGTCAATAAAGGGCTGGTTGCATCGTGAAGAATTTGGCCCAACCAGCCATGTTGCCCTCTGCAAAGAGATGGCCATTTATAATCGTATAACACAATAACGTGAGTCGTTTTAGGTCACCGCGAAGGCACGTGTGAATCGCAAGATTCGGAGCACACGCATTTTGTAAGAGCTCAGGGTCGGCTTTTGTTTGTTAATGTAGGTCTCCATGAAGGGGGCGGCCCGGCCGGCCCGCTTTTCTGGGACGATCGTGCGGCGCATCACATGATGGGCCCGGCCTCGGGGGTTGAGGCAGTGAAAGGAGTCTTAACATGCTAGTGGGATGCGGAGGTGGCAAACGAATACATGAGTGTCGAACGTCTTAATATAGCGCAGGTTGTCACATGCGAGACAATTCAATTCACTTTGTGGCGGCTTCAAGCCAATGGCGCTTTAACCAGATTTCTGCTATTGGAAGGCTAAATTAGGTCAAAGCTCAGACCACTTTGCACCGAGGACCGTTAACGTGCCTCCGAATGCGCTGTGGTCTGTCTGATGTGACAGTCACATTACCCCAATTCCGCTGCCTCAGAAAGCAGCTGACCAGAAAAGGAACTGTGTCCATCACGACCCCGACTGGACCTTTTGCACCATTTTGTGGATGTCACATCAGAAAACAGGAAGTGCTGTTGTTCACTTATCACGCGCGCTCTCTCTCTCTCTCTCTCTCTCTCTCTCTCTCTCTCTCTCTCTCTCTCTCTCTCTCTCTCTCTCTCTCTCTCTCTCTCCCCCCCCCCAATCTAAAATGTTTCGGCGTGCGAAATGTTTTACGTTGAAGGCTCGATGGTCACACTGCTCGAACCGTCACTCTTTCTCTTTTCCAGGACATTGTGAGTGCTACTAAAGATGTCTGATAGTGTCGATATTGAAGAGAAACCACCGGCCCCCCCCTTGAGAATGAACAGTAGTTCCAGAGACTCTTCATCAGTGAATCCCGCCTCCAAACCGCTTCCAATGGCCCCCGAAGAGAAAATCAAGAAAGTGCGCCTGCGCTCCATCTTCCCCGGAGGCGATAAGAGTGAGTACCCGTCCGTCACCGCCATCTCACCTTTCCTGCTCCACCCCCTTCCGCCACTTCTTTGATTCCGAGTACAATAATCCGCGTCGAACCAATAGAAATGGAGTTTGTGTCGATGATTTTGCCTAGCAAACAAGAAGAAGGAGAAGGAGCGTCCCGAGATATCGCTTCCCTCCGACTTTGAACACACCATCCATGTGGGCTTTGACGCAGTAACAGGAGAATTCACAGTGAGTGTCGATTTCACCCGACGGGGCAGCCAAGTGATCGCCCCGTCATTCATTCAGAAACATCGCACGTTGATAAGGACGCTGACCTGATCCACATTCAATCAATCGATGTGTCCGAATGACAAAATCTGTCATTTTTTGCATCCCTCACACTTCAATATTATTTTCGCTGCACTCAAATTGCAAAAGAATGAACAAAGTCTCTCCCAGTTTTTGGCTTGCGCGTGACTTTGAAAAGCATCATTATGCATTTTAAAAATAACCAATAAGAACTTGATTGTTTGCCAAACGGCGGCGTTGTGACACACGGAGGGCGCCGACGGTGACTTAGTGCGGTTGGGTTTCGGACTTTGAAGTCGGAACTTCATCCGCTACGTTGGCTTCGCTAGAACTGGAAAGTGTCGGCATTGATTCGAAACCGTGTCACATCATTTAGTTCCAGTCAGTCACAGATGAAAAGATTTGCCTGCAAGCAAAGTTAGCGATGCTTATTAGCAATCATTTTCTACAGTATGTAATTTGTAACACATTCCATTTCTCCGACAGTATCAATCAAAATTATTATTTTTTCCCCTTTCTCGAGACACGATGCAGCATCAAGCTCTTGTTTTTTTAACCATTTAATCCATTTAGTCCACGCAAGCGCCTTCTGCGGTTACCATGGGAACAACACTTGGCGAGATTACGATTTCTCCTGGTGTATTATAACGGAAACCAACCAAGTGTCAATCCAGCCGTTGACATCGGAGTGTTTTGAATGTAGTATTTTCATCTTAAAAGTCTGACAACCCCCCTCCTCCCATACGCACCTGTGTGGCTGCAGGGCATCCCGGAGCAATGGGCGCGCCTCCTGCAGACGTCCAACATCACCAAGCTGGAGCAGAAGAAGAACCCACAGGCTGTGTTGGATGTGCTCAAGTTCTATGACTCCAAAGAGACGGTCAACAACCAGAAGTACATGAGCTTCACCTCAGGAGGTACGCAGCTCCAAGAATGCTCATCCATTGGAAGAAAAAGGGACTTTGAAGCGGTCTTTGAATGCGCTCGTTTCTTTCTATTTCAGACAAGTCTGCCCACGGTTACATAGCAGCAAACACTCTGGTGAGTAAATGGCGTGATTCGGGTTTATTACTTAGTTTGTTCAGTTTTTTTCGATTCACGCATGCTACTTTTTGCTTCCGGTGGCCTCTTTGGCCTGTTCATTCGAAATGTTAGCATTTAGCCCGACCTTACTTAGAGGTTGGACTTGTTGAAATTACGCAATGCACACACTACCAAGTATGACGTTGAGCATTTTGTCGTCATTTCTCTTCTCGTCTAAAAAGTCTCACAGGTAAGTTTGAACATTTTGTGCATTCGATTCATCGGCGTGACTGGTGGAGTTGCTATCAGTGCACACGCTTTTTTTTCCCTTTCATGGGCAAAATGCGCACATTCCCACTCGTGATGCCGTCCCACTAATTCCCTGAACTTTTGCAGCCATTCCAGTCAGTTTTGCACTCAAAAAACTGAGCCTCCGTGAGAAGGACCGCTACTCCGAGTTTATTTTTCCGATCGACTTAACTCGATTCCGTAATGCAAACAGTGGCCCGAGCTTCGGTGAAGGCTCGGCTGCATTGAGGAGGACTCCCACTAGGCTGACCTTATTCCTCGCTTTGACCAGAGTAATCTATGCTTTTAATGCCTTTCTCTGCACACACGCTCAGCCGGGTGAAGAAGTGCAATCCGAGTTTGGCGGGGGTCGGGGGG